TACACGTTACTAACGTTTGTGTCCTGTCGATTAAGACAGGAATGGCGGGGGGGGAACTGGCTTTATTAACCAAAACATAGCTTTAACACACAAGCGTTCCAAGCCCGTTCTTAAACTCTCTGAGGTTTTCCCCGCACGCACACACGTGGCCACAACCATTTGTGCAACAGGAAGCCCATCCAGTTGGCCACCTTGCATTTTCGCACTCAACTCCCTGCGGATCCTTTTTGCCAAATCTTCAGAAAAGGCGGTTGAGTCTTAGTTGAAAGCAAGAGATGTTAGGAGTCTTTCAGACCTCAGGATCTAAAGAGCCCATCAACAGCGTCTAGTCACCATTCACATCTGCCTAGAGCTGCTTCGTATTAACGGGATTTAGACACAGCAAAATGCGAGACACCCACTTGGTCAAGAAAAACCCAGTCGTCTCAAGAGCTACCCTCTTAACAGCGGGGGGAGAGGGAGCTGCAGAAACGTAAGCTTTCTGTTGTAGAACTCTGCACGTCTCTGCTTTTATTCCGCTGGATCCTGCGGATCTGTCCCACAAATCACGCTCCTGCTCCGGGCTGGGTTCCTTGCACTGCCTTTAGCAGGACGGATATGAAAGTCCCAACCTGTCATCCTTCCCTCTAAGGAAGATCCACTGTGTGTTCGTGAATTGGCATTCAAGCACACCGGTCCAGAACACACCGGACACAAAATCTGTCACGAGTGTTTCCAGCGCGAGACCGTTCCAAAGGAGAAAAGCCCACGAGACAAGACTCGAAAGCCTCAGTCGGCTGAGCTGGAAATGCCTCCCGCGTCTGGACTGACGTGACTTTCCTCGGGCCTTAGCCGGTCGTCTTCTGACGCGTGTGGTTTTAAATCCGGAGCCCAGCCGTGGCGCTTTGGCTCTGCCGGCCGTCCCGACCGTCAGGGTTTTTTGTAGGCCTCCTCCCGCCCGCCGGAGCGAAACTGCTTCCCGGCACGCCCCGCCCCTCTGCCTCCCCCCTGCTTCCTCTTCGCCTGGCCCTGCGGCTCCGGCTTCAGCGTCTCCGCCCAGAAGGCGTCGAAGGACCCGGGCGCCTGATATCCCGGCTCCTGAGTGTCCAGAGGGTCTTTGCTCAGCAAGATGCAGATGGCGGGGACATTCCGCTTGACGGTCAGGGGATCGAGGCCCACCTCGGGCACGATGGGCTCCCAGATCTCCTCCGTCTGCCGGAAGAAGACCTTCGTGATCTGGTGGAGGCTCTTCAGGCGCCGCTTCATGATCTCCACGCAGGTGATGGTCTTGCTGATCGCTTTGCCGGCGCCGCTGAAGAGGACCTGCCTCACCGGCTCCATCTCCATCTTGGCGATGGCGTAGCCCATCAAGTTCCGGATTTTGCTGCCGTCCTTCACTTTCATCTCGATGATGTCGGCAGGCAGGTTGCTGAACGGGAGGGGGGCGGGCTTCTCCACGGTTTTGGACTTCTGGTAGTTCTCCATGGTTCACGCTGGGGCAGGGGGAAAGGGAGAGGAGAAGAAGAA